TTCCCTTGTTGCAGCCTCTGTTAGCTATTGGGAAATATACTTACTTTCCATATTTTGCTGTTAGGAACCCACTGCACAGACAGCCTATCATTCCACCTACACAATACATAGACACGATGAAGGACCACAATAATGTGAGTGTCTCCTGTTGCAGCACAGACCCATATCGCTCCAGCCAAGTTTCATTGATAAACTTCTGAATGTACTGGGACAGAAAAAGAGATTTTCACAAACAGTAGTTCTTCATAATGTTTATAACTTTAAAACAGGTGAATAACAGTAATTGGTAAAAGCATGACTATGGGACATTTGTTTGCAAATTAGGATTGACATTTCCTCCCATACAGACTAATAGTGTGAGATAGTCTTTCAAAACGCAATTATACGCTTTAGTCTGTTGAACCCTGGCACTCCTACACCAAAATAGTGGGACCTTTTATTGACTCTGGTGAAGGGCAATTGCTCCTATTGCAAGTAGCAGTTATAAGGAGAAAAGGGCTGAACTGAAGGTTGAGAGTCAGTCAGCTAGTTGTTAATCTTTTTTTCTCCATGGCATAATCTTTGAGGAGGGTGTTTCAATATGTTGTTCCCATACAGTTCTGTGAGAAGTTGTCTTTGGAGCACAGCTCCTAACAATCATGCAAAGTCCTTTTGTCTTCTGCCAGTGGGCAGTATGGCATTGGAAAGAGCTGGGAATAAACCCACATAGCAACACCTGACAGATTTTTTAGAGCATCTTCAAAGAGTAAGGCCGTGGCAAACAGTTACAGATGTGATCTCGTGAAGTCTTTGCTTACCGGAGATGTGTAATTGATGACAGACATTTGAAAACCAGACAGGTGGGTTCCCCCAATCCCTAGCACCATAATCATTAGCAATAGCTTCCGGTACTGAACCTGCCAAAGGTGATGAAACACATTGTAAGTTCCTGATACCTCCTGGCTTTAGACCAGGAGACAATTGATGAGATGTTCTGCCTTCACATTGCTATGATTTACTGTAAAATGCAAACACCCATTTTGAATTTTTCAATCATGCTGCTTGCCAGTGAGGAGGGCTAGAAGACAAGAAGTTAGGTACTCACCAGGTCTGAGAGGAAACCAGCCATTTGCCCTTGAAACCTGCCTGCTCTGAGAGCCCTTGTCAGGTCTGTCAGATGAGAGGTATGTTTTCTATGTGTAGATTCTGAGAAGTGGGGATCATGTCACAGAAGTTAAATTCTAACCCTGTGGCTTTTAGTGAATTGTGTCCTCTTCCAGCAGTGACCAGGGCCCCTTTTTGCTGGTTTAATTATTCCAAGACCCAGATACGCCAGGCTGGTTGCAACACTGGTAGATGTTTATCCTTCTGTTGGGAGTGCATCCCCCTCACTTGTACTGCCAAAGCAACTGCATGTTCCTGTGAGGGGTCGGATGGTGTTGCATCTTTCCTTCAGGATAGCAGTCTCTCTTCACCTCTCTGACATGCAGCTTAGGCTGAGTGTTTTTCCTTTTCTCAAGTCTACTACAGAGATAAGCCACTTAGTGTTTTGAGTATTAGTATTATTAGCTGAGCTGTAAGGCCTCTTCTCGCATGCTGTAACATTTTCCGTTGCTTGAAATGATCTGAATGATTTTCCAGTTGCAGAACTGGTGAATCTCTGAATGTTGGCATATTGGGTCCTTGTGAACACCCAGTTCTTTAGTCAGGGTTACTGTTTCCAGACCCACTCAGAAGCCTCACTGTTGCCTCTTTGTACAACGGAGGTGGCTACTGTGTGCCAGACTGGGATGCTCATTGTGGTCTGGCTAGAGAACTGATTTTTTGAAGTACTTTTCACCTTAAGAAAATTATTTTTAATCAGCCAAATACCTGACTATTTACAGAGTGCAAGCTACTTCTTGCTTCCTTCAGGCTTCTGTGTATTACATGTAAGATTTTGTACTACACTGAATACAATGGAGCTCACTCTGCACTACAAAGATTTAACTGTCTGTGGTTAGTGCTGAAAGGGGCAGTGGGAAGGTGGGGCTGTGGTTCTGAAAGCAGCAGCAGCTTTGCTCAGGAGCACAGTGGAAGCGCTGACATTCCTCCTACAGTTTGCTTGTCACATTACAGTGACTGACAGCAAACCCATGCTGTCCTCTGGGCCGTGTGCCCTGCAGCACAGGGCAAGCTTGCTGAGTCACACCTTGACCTTTCCCCATGTCCCAGTAATGCTCTCTCCAAACCCTCTGCTTGGGTGTCTCACTGCACATCAGTACAGTGAAATAATTCAAATGGAATTCATCTTTTCACCCATTCCATTTTCATCATTCCTGAAATCCTTGTTACCTCCTCATCAGGTGTGGTCATGTATTTCATTCCTTCGCCTCTCGGCACAGACTTCTCAAATGCTATCACTTCCTCTTCTAAAACACCCCAGAATCTATCTTCCTCTTTAATTACTACTGCAAAAATCCCTGTTTTTATTTAGCTTTTTTCTTGTTCCTTACAAATTCCTCCTCTCAGTTTCCAGTCACTTCAACACTGGCCACTGCCCCCTCCTCAGCTAAAGGTTTCGCTGTCAAAGGGAAGACTGCAGCCAGATTGTATGGCTATCCCCTGTCCTCTCTTACCACCACCACCCACTTTATCCTCAGGGGTCAGACCAGAACTGTGTCCAGCAGAGTATCCCAGAGCTATCCCATAATAGTGTTAGGCAAAAGAATAAGAGCAGAGCAAGTGTGTAGTGATGCTTCCCCTTGTGTGTTTTCCAGGCCCCAGTGATGAGCAACACAGGGACTTTGCTGGTCAGGATGGTGTCTTTGTATTTGCTCTTTACACTCAAAGATCCTCTTTGAACTCTCGTGAACTTTTATTGATCCCAAGTCCTGGGACAGAAAGGTCAAATGAGATGCTTGAACAATCCAGTGTTACTTCCTGCTTTCTGTCAGGGCACACTAAAAGCTACTTTTGAAATAATTAACCCTCTCTTTTGCCATTTCTCTCTGTCTTTCCTTTTAACTTCTGTTTCCTGTATCAAATTTGAATGTCAGATCTCTGTTTCTAGATCTTTTCATGCTGCACTGTCTCATGCAAGTGTGTCTTTATTTTTCTTTTCCCTTTTTAGAGGGGCTCTGCCAGTCTAACAGCAAACCACTTTGCTAGACTCAGACAGCATGGCTCAAGCACCTTAGAGTGGGGTCATGATCAGGGAGCCTGAATGAGCTAGAGAGGAAAGGAGGATTTGTTCTTTGAGCTGAGGATGGGAAGCGTGGCTGCTGGAAGGAAGGACACACGTGGCAGCTCTTCTTTCTGAAGGAGTTTGGAACCACTGTGTGGCCAGATTTTAAGATCTGCTTGATCAAACAGTCCCTGAAGAGTCCTGTTCCTCCTGTCTATATCTCTCCCAGAATATTCACACTGCTGTCTCATTTCTATCTGGCTTCCCCCTTTTATTCAGTGCTGTACTATGGGAAAAACAAGACTTAAGTGCATAATACGGTTCTTATTTATTTCCCTACAGAAGAGAACAGAAGAGTCTTTTCACCTAGGATTTGAGCTCTACAAGAAATGTACTTATTCCAGATCTGGTGCTTAACTCACACAATACCCTTAGCTTGGAGGGCTTTTGGTTTCCAAGATGTCATGCACTGCATTTATGTGATCCTGGAAATCAAACAGATATGCTGCAGATTCACAAGTACCTCTCTAACCTTTATTCCCAATCCATGCTGGTTGATGGCAGTGTTAATGATTTACTGCACTTCCCTGCTTCTGACCCCTTTAGTGTCTTGTAAAACACTAAAAACTTCCTCACTGGCAACCAGTACGGTTGAGAAAGACCAGAACATATAAAGACTTTAACAAAATCAAGGTCTTACCTAATCCTTTCCTTCTCTCTCCTTTTTTTTTTTTTTGCTGTTTTTTCCTTCTTTCCCTCAGCAGTTTTGCCCAGAAGCAGGAATGTGGGTCAGCTCTGCTCTGGTATTGTTCAATCCGTGTTCTCTGGCCTTGAAACTATAAACTTTGTCTAGCTTTCTTCTGTACTATGATGATTGTCATAGGAAGGATGGCTATGTTGGTGATGCCTACTGCTCTTGGCATTACCTCTCAGCACTGCTACAATACTGATGTGAAGATAAAATAGCAGTTTTATCTGCACAGACTTAGGGCTGTGAAAGAAACTACCACTCAATAGTCAGGTCCTTTTGCAAATTTTATTGTGCAGTATCTGCAACATTCAGTAATGGAAATCTCATTTCCAGAACAAGAAAGACACGGTATTCCTTGACCCCAACAATATAGTCCCAGAGGATGGGCTCTGTGTCCCTGACTCTTCAGTGTCATGACAACCAAATCCAGGTATGATCAGCATGATGTGTTTTCTTACACACTGCTTTTTTATTTATTTATCAGTAAACTTGAAGCATGAAGAGCAAGAATGTGTCACATCCTATAGCAATGAATACAAAAACCGAAGCCTTTGTTACCATGTTTTGTCATTAAAATGTGGAGTATTCAGAGGACTGGAGAGAGAAGCAAACACTCAGACATGCAAACCGGGTTCTACTGGAGGAGCACTACTCTTTTTTGTCTCATCAGTACCAGGTACCCTTGGAAACAAAATCCCATTGAAACCCAGTCTTCCTCCTCTCTGACATAAAATAGCTCTAGTCTGAAGACATGCTACATAGTTTTGAGAATGAAGGAGTACTTGCCCAGTCTGGATGAGCCCACTCATGATTTCCTGCAGCTCTACTTTCTTTGTGTCTTGCTTTCTTCCAGTGCTGGCAAATCCCTGTTTGTCCCAGTAGAAGAATCTCCAAAATCTAGGCAATGTACCTGATTACCAAGCAAGAAGTTTGACTTGAGGCAACAGGTTATGCTCGGATACTGCTCTAGCATAGTGTCTCCTTTACACCAGGACCTTTTATCTCCTTCACACCTTTTTTCTTCAGACATAGCAATGACTTTCCCCCTCCTCAAAATAAAAAAAAAAAAACAACAAAAAAACCAAAAACCAAAAAACGAAGAAACAAAAACCCCAACAAACTAAAAGGGATGAAGACCATGCTGCAAGTCACAGAAGTGTGGTCATAAGCTCCTCAAGAAAGTCCTAGTTGTCCTCATGCCTTGTACTTGCTCTCAAGTCTAACTCTAAGAAGAGGAAACTGCATCAGTTCTGCCTGCTGACAGGCAAGGTACTCTTATTGCACTGGATTAAAGAGCTAAACACTTCTTTTCATGTGGACTGAAGCTCCTTCTCTGGCAGAGCTCAGCAGCACTGGCTTGTTCAGTGTGAAAGCTCTGTCTTCTTTTTCTCTGTTTCACAAGTATGCTGTACATCTGAACCTTCCACACTCAGTTCCTCCAGTAACTGTTGAGTCCTGGTTTTGGTAAGGAAAGTAGGAGATCCTGTGCTCTGTTACACAGCTGCTAACTTGCAGGGACTAACAAAGATCTTATATCTTTGTAGACTGTGTGTAATTTTTTTCTGCAGAGGACTGAATTCAGCTCATATTCCAGCAGCTGGAGAGAGCCACCAAATTCATCCTGCACTGCAAGTGATTATTTTTAAAGTACACTTTTTTTGCTGTTTGTGGAGAGGTGGATTCTGTCTTGTTTAGTGAGGCTTCTGGGCACTACAGTAATAAGAGTGGAGAGTTTGTTATTAAAGTCTAGTAACAGTCACCACTGAGCAGTTACTCTGCTCTAGAATTGTGTGTTTCTTCTTTCCACGGTAGTTCAGGCGGTTGAACTCCTCCATGACCTGCAGCATGGTCTTTCCTTTGGTCTCTGGCATCACCAGGAAGACAAAGATAGCCATGGACAGACAGTATGTCAAGAAAATGATGAAACAGAAACTACCAAGACCTTCCTATAGGAAAAGAAAGAGACAAAATGTGTTCACATAAACTGATCTAGATCTCTTTCTCTTATGATAGGGAGTTTCTGGTTTTCTGTTTATTAAAAATTTTGGTCAAGGACTCGATGTAAATCCTGCTTGCTGCCACCTGGGAAATGGCATGGAGTGGTAAGATGAACTAACTCTCCTTCCCTGTTTTAAGGAGGAAAGCTCTATGCTCAGCAGAAATTGAATGTCCTTGCTTGACAATCTAGAGAAGCGCTGAGCTTCAGTTACTCTTCTGTCTGCTCTGTCCTTAGTCTGTGGTAGACTGGGTAAGGTAGGTAGCATGTTAGTTCTGTCCCTCCTTGCACAGCCCAGAACTGCAAAGGCTTTTGTTTCCTGCTATGTACAAGTGCAGTGAGAGATCTCTGAAACTGCCCATTTTCCAAATTAACCCCAAAGGAGATGAACACACAGGAGAGGGGAGAAAAAGAAGGGAACCCCTCATGACGTTCAAATGACTTGAACAGTTGTTAGTGCCTCTGTCATTGCTTCAGTGTTTGTCAGTGTCACACTCTAACTGTGTAGATAGTGTTAGTAGTATCTAGAATTTATCTAGTGCTTTCACTAGATATCTGGGTAAGAAGAAAGGGGCATCAGAACTGCAATTAGTTTGAGTTGTCCTGTGTGTGAAGTGTTGAAAAAGAGAAGTATGCTCTGGATTCAAGAAAGGTGTAATCTCCTCTGAACTGAAGCTAAACACCCTACTGCACTTACCACAATGAAAGGGAAGAAAAGTCCAAGGATGAAAAGTTGGATCCAGTTTATAGTACCATTAAAAACATAAGCGGCTGGTCTGTACGACTGAATGAATATTTCTGTGGGCAAGGAGCATAATACTCCAGCTGAAAAAAAAAAAAATAACCATGTTGGAGAAAAAAGGAAGTTTAGAAATTTTGGAAGATGCTTCTGCAACTCACAGTTGATCCACTGCCACATAAGTTAATGGTTTTAACTGACCTGGAAGTGTTTGAGGTGCTGCTTGGCTCTTCAGGAGGAAGGCATGTAGGAATGCAATATGAAATGAAGTGTTACCTCCTACCACAGTGTGGAGGGGAATATCTACCCCTGCGCTGAACCAGTAGTAGGGATTCACACTAACTGTGGAACAGCTACACCTGGGACCTCTCCTAAAGGCTGAAGTGAGGAAGGAATGAGTATATGAAACCATTCCAGTAGAAAATACCAACCTGGCCCCATGCCAAAGCTCATGATGAAAATAAAGATGAGTGCAACAGAGCAGTATGGTACCCAGGAAAATGCATCCTATGGTAGGAAATGAAAAGCAAATAATATCATAAATTAAAATTGTATTTATCCAGCTCCATTAGAAACATTCATCACTGCTAACTGTGTCTATGTTACACACACATCTGTACCCTCTACTTCCAGAAACTTCACAAAGAGATAATCTTGACAGTGATCATGGTAGTATAATGCCATTGGCTTTAATCTGCAGGTACATGGGTGGGAACAGCCCTGTTACAATGATGGTTAGCCTCAAAAATACTTCTACTCTGACTAAAAAGTGACTTGGGTGGAGGGAAATGGTGATGATATCTGCCATAAAATAAAACATCAAGACCTGACACAGCTCTATAATGAGTAAGTGGGGTCTTACCTGTAGTGAAAGCGTGACTGTGAGGAACCCTAAAGCTAAGGCCATAACAGTGTAGGTTTTCCAGAGCAGTGTCTTTCGTCCTGCACGCTCAATTAGGAAAACCTGCAACCAGAAGGACATGCTATCAGCTCCACAGGACACAGCACAGACCTTAAGGACAGGCACTGGTGAGCTGTTTTCACCAGGCAGGCACAGAATCTCTGAAGAGACTGCTATGTAGTACCTCCTGTGGGAGAGTGAGTGAAGGTGTGGGGGGGGGAATTGAGCAGGAGCAGGAACTGCAGGCACAGGGGTGGGGAAGGTGGAGAGATGCAGAGACGCAGGGAGTTATCACCTGAGCAGAAGAGATCTGAGGTGGCATTCTGGTGGCAAAGGACAGCTGGGAGCTCAGCAAAATGGAGATGCGTGTTAATTGCCATGAATCCTACAGCCTCCCAACAAGTAGACACAGTGTCCTACCAGCAAGTAGACACAGGGACTGTATCTGCCTTTCCTATAGGGGGGAACTGGAACTCCCAAAGATGGCTCAGGCTGGGTCATGATTTTGAGAGAAGATCCTTTCCTCCCATAAATTGCATATGCCCATGTTTTCAGGGTGTGTGGAGAGGATTTATGTGATCAGTGCAAATGCTGCAGTTGATTTGTTGCAGAACATTTGATCCTTGAATCTCCATTTACAGTAGTTACAAAGATTGAAGTGAGCCATGCATTATAGCAGAATGAAATTCAGCTGAAGGGCCACTTACACACATCAGTGTGGTAAGGATCTCAGTGATCCCAACTCCAAGGGAGACATAGTGGGTTTGAGCAGGGGGGATTCCAGCATTTATAAAGACACTGTATGCATAAAAGTAAACCTGTGAAGAACAGAAAGATGTGAAGGCTGTACTCATGTGATCATGTTTACAGTAGCTTCTGTCTTTTTTGACAGAAAATAACTAATCAGATGTTGACAAAAGAGAAAATATTCATTTCAGTAACTAATCCTCACTGTCTCCATGAGGCTTACTTGTGCAGAACAGCTTCACAGGCACCTCTGTCTTGAACTCAGTAACAAATACAACCTTCTTCTCTTTTTGCTTTTAGCACTACCTTTGTCTTGTCTTACAGGTTATAATTCTATCTATCTGACATCTTTTGCATGTTTTAGTGTTTTGTGTACTTTGGATGAGGAGCATACAGAAATGTGGACAATACATAAGCAAATGGTTTAATTCTCTGTCTACATAATCTTGAAGATTTTGATAGATGTAAGCACTCATAATGCGTAATAAATTCCACTGTTAATATACTCAGCTTCTACTGGTCCTCTATGGTATAGTTACTGCACCCCTAGTGAGGGTAGAAAGGAGTCTTACTAATCTTGAAGTCTTTCTGAATTTGCAAAATTCATCTGGATTTTGAAACTTCTATGCTTTCACTATAAGCTCATTGTATACAGTAACTATTCCCATGCTCAGAGATATGAAACATAGCTAGATATATTTCCAGAAAAAAAAAGTATAACAGAATATATATCAGTAACTGTTACACATGTTACTGGGATGTTGTAATTGTCTGTAATCAAAAATAAGTGCAAAGTTAAAAGAGTTAGAAAGAAACCCAAAGATTCAGGAATACAGAAATGCTCAGTCTGTACTGAGATGGCTGAACAATTTTGGGCAGTGCCTTCTGGAGTTCAGAGACGCAGAGAGGCTTATGCTGTTGTTTACTTGTTTGGTATTTGAGATTTTATTTTATCCCCTTCCATTCTCTTATTATAACAGGGTCATTCATAGAGATGTCTTCAGATGACAGTTGCTAAAAGAAGGTTCTCAACTTATCCCAGGTCCCAGACTTCCATGGCAAAATACTATAATAAGCAGTAAAAGCAAAGCAAAGTAGCACACGTACCATATTGCAGCCAATTAGCTGCATGCATGATGAGACAAGGAAAAGAGTGATGAACTGCCAGCGGACAGGTCTGTCACGAAAAAGGTCACACATGCTCTTAGCCTTCTCGTCATGGATGGCTTCTTGCTCTGCCATCATGTCATCTATTTCAGCCATATGATCACCATCTCCCCAGAGCCACTTCACAGCTAGAAGGAGAGGAAAAGAGAGAACTCCTGGACCAAGCTCACCAGCACAGGCATTAATTCAGAGGGTTACTTCCTGCCTTGCCGAGTGTCTTAGTTGAGCTTCAGGCTCTTTGCTTGTATGACCTTTCTAGAGATCTGGGTTCAGGTTAGACACAGATCCAGTTCATTTCTGTATATTTTTACCCATAAGTCTTAATCACAACCTCACCTTTGGGTAATAGCTGCTTACTGTGTTTCAATGTAAATCACTTACCAATCCTCCCCTGGATACACTCCTGCTAGGGTATACATGAAAATACAGACGAGGAAAAGTAACACCTACATTAAAAAATAAATCTACATCCAAGAGTTCTCTCTTTCGACACTTAAACAGAGGAACAACCACTGGGGGGGTTTATGTCAGTAGTTGGTGTTAGAGTTATTGAAGAACTGAAATGCTTACAGATAAGGCATGACAGTAAAGAGCTTCACTTTCTTACACAGAGCCAGAAGATACCATATCCACAGCCTGAGTGTTCAGGGCAGAATCTGTACTCATGAAAGTACAAGCTCTGTGTGATCACATCCCTCAGAAGATCCTGGCAGAGGGTAAGGGAGATACTAATGCCAAGAGAGTACTAATACCAAACCAGAGGAGGCCATCTTTCATTCAAGCTTGTCCTGGGTTTAGCAGTAGCAGTCAATTTTTCTCCTTCTTGGTAGCTGGTGCAGCGTTGTGTTTTGACTTTCATCCTGGGAACAGTGCTGATAACACCAATGTTTTTAGTTGTTGCTAAGTAATGTTTACCCTGACCAAGGACTTTGTGAGCCTCATGCTCTGCCAGGGAGGAGGGGAAGCCGGGAGGAAGCAGAGACAGGACACCTGACCCAAACTGACCAAAGAGGTATTCCATACCACAGCACGTCATGCCCCGGAGGTAACTGGGAGTTACCCGGCAGGATACGGGGTCTTATGGATCGAACTAGTTTTTCGGTGGGTGGTATTGTATTCTCTTCCCTTGTTATTTTCTCTTATCATTGTTGTCGTTGGTGGTAGTGGTGGTGATTTGTGTTGTACACTGATTTCTGGACTGTTCTTGTCTTAACCCATGGGAGTTGCATTCTTTCGATTCTCCTCCCCATCCCTCTGGGAGCAGAGATGGGGGGGGGAGGAAATAAAGAGGGAGGAAAAGGGGGGGGAGTGAGTGAACGAGCTGGCTGGCTGGGTTTAAACCATGACAAAGCTGAAGGTGGTTTCAGAGCCAAAAGACCAGAAGTCTTTTTCCCAACTGTACTCTCTTCCAGGCTCATGTGGGGCTTTACTGTATTCTTCACTTTTTGTTGAAATGAATACTTTGTGCCTCATTTCCTTACCTTTGATGCACCCCTCCTTGTCCTTTTTGTCAATGAGAAGGTAGCGGGGTGAGTCTGGGAAGAAGGGGAGGGTGAGAAGGTGAACGAGGGCAGGAAGCACATTGACTGCCATGAGAATTGGCCAGAGAGCATCTACTCCAAGAACTTCTCTGAAACAGAACCAGCAGAATGAGAGGAGCTGAGCAACCATGTGAGCACACACAGGCACAGGGTGGTCCCTTGGCGCTGCTGCGGGTGTCCGGGCAGCTCTCACCCAACAGCCTCCAGCATTCATCAGCCCATGAAAACCTTAATGGGAGGTGGAAGGGGAGAGCAGAGTGCTGCTGCCCGCAGCACACCAGTTACACAGTGTTGCCCGCTGTTGCACAGTGATGAGTGCAGCACCGCTGACTGCACCCTCCTGCACAGCTGGAGCCCATAGGGGTAAACTGTGTCCTAGCACAACAGTGAAGAAGGAACCTGCCCTGGCTTATACGTCTGTTACTGATCCCAAGAGCCTCAAATTACAAGACAGGATCCACGGGTTATCAGTCTGCTACTGACTGCCCCATGTAGCAGCTGCTGGGTTTCCTGGTTTTTTGAGAGTACTGTGGCCAGAAAGACACGTGCCAGGGGAACAGGACAGACCATCTTTGGCACAGGACAGGCAGAGGAGCCTGTGCAGGGCGGAATGAATCCACCACGGTTTTCTGGTTTCGTGGGTGTGCTGGCTTGTGTGTATTTTCAATTACGTTGGGATGGATCTGATATTCCCTGCTCCTTCTAAAAAAAAAAAATATTAAAGGTAGACGTCATTTCTTACAAAAGATGGATTTCTTTCAAAACCCATTTGAATCTGGTAAAGGTTTTATTATCAGTATTTTTATCTCTCTTTGCTAGGAAGCAACATCATTGTTCAGGATTAAATATTTTGTATGATTTCTGTTTCTCATAGACTTAAGCTAGAAGTTCAGGCTGAGCTAATTCAGTCTGGCTGCATAGGGTACCCTGAAAACATGTCTAAAACTAGTTACTAATTAGCCTGTCCATAGGCTTGCATTAACATATGCATGTATTTTAGTAACAGAAGAAATGACATAGATCTCAGACCTCCTTACCTGAGACCCAGAGCAAATGCTACAAATTTTCCAATGGCGATGGAAGTAGAAGCAGTTACAGCAACCAGCCCACGGAGCTTCCGCGGGGCACATTCCCCGGCATACATGAGATGGATGTTCAGAGCTATACCTGCAATCACAAGTGTTTGTCAGGGCAATTTGAACTCCCAAAGGTCTGGTGTTCTGGAGTGGACCATTATGGGCAAAGCATATAGGATGACGCTCCAGGCTAACTTCTTGCCATGCTGAGCATTCTGCATGACCTGAAGCATGTTCCTGATACAGTGGCCTTGTGCCTTTCCTAAATCTTTCATTAAGCAAGTATGTTCCCCTGGGGAAATCTGTTCTTCAGCAAGCTGGTCTTCTCCTATAGTGTTTCCTACAGCCACATGGAGATCTTTGCTGTTGCTCCCTTTAGTCTTAAATTGTATATTTCAGTGCCTATTCAGGATGCTATGTGTCTTGATTTGTGCTTCAAACCAGCAAGTTAACAAATGCTCTATATTTCATTTGCTCAGTCAATGAATTATTGTTTCTCTATTATTTTTGCTGGTTAGTATTATCTATATCCAGCTGCTCAGGAATTGAAAACACAGACACAATGTAACCTTCTGAGGCATCTGGAAAGAAGAATTGCCCAGATTGAAAATCATACCCTTGTTTGTAATACGGAAGACAGTATCAGCCACAACAAGCAGCTACAGAAACAAGAGGTCAGCTTTATACTGCCTGAGCATGCTCCCCTGAAATATTGCATGCTTTGGTTTTTTCACAGGTTGGCAGTACTTTCTGTCTGGATTGGATATAAAGATAAAAGAATGAGGAATGGAGATGTCACACCTGATTAATTTAATGACATTGGTGTTTTATTATTTAGTTAAAAATGCATTCAGAAAGCAGACCCTCCGCAGAGTTAGTGAAAATCTGTGATGTGCATACTCAGACTGGTAAATCCTTGTGTCCGTCAGTCACTGCTCTCCCAGCTACTTAATGCCATAGATAGGAATGCTGATTTACCTCCACACACTCCAGCAAATAATCTTCCAATGATGATCATCTCAAAGGATCCACACAGCTGGCTGAACCCCATCAGAGCTGCACTCAGCAGGGAAGGGATATCTGCTAAAAGCATGGCCTTCTTCCTGGAATTCATTTAAATTCATATGAGCATAAATAGTGTCCCTGTGTCATATGCAGCCTTACAGAAGTTGTATAAAGTGTACCAAGTTGAAGACTCTGTGCTGGCTTTTGAGATTAGCTGCAGTGAAGTAAATGGGAAATGGGAATGGGAAAACTTTGTTGTGGACTAATAAGATAGTTTTATGTCTCTAGTGGAGCTGGCATCTGCACTGAGGAACAAGCTTTGTGAGAGGCTGTCTGTGAAATTCACTTTTAAATGGATTTACTCCTCATGTGACTTCTCTGGAATGGATTTGCTTTGGAATTTATAAGGGAGAAGGTACAGTTTTCTTTGTGGCCATTGGCAGATTTTGCCATTCTGTTTCTTCATCTGAAGCAGCTCTGGGCTGCTCACACTTGTGCCACTTCACAAGCACTGTTTCTCCCATGACAGTTGTGGCTGTAAACAGAAAGACTAATGTAATCATTATTCCTACCTTCCAAATCTAACAGACAAATATCCGGCAGACAAGGACCCCAGAAGCCCACCAATGCTGTAAATGGACACAATGAAGGACCACATCAAAGTAATCATCTCTTCACTGGGAGAAAAGCCATATCTCCTCAGACAGGTCTCACGAATGAAACTTTTGATGTACTTTAATATAAGAACAGAAAACAGTGGACTCAGTCAACATGCTTTTGCATAACTACATCACTTTTTTTACTTCTCTTACCTACTTACTGGTCTTCTTGATCCATTTCTATTGACAGCTTAGTTGTAACCTTAGCCCCAGTGAAATCTATGGGAATTCTGCTGCTAACATCCTATGTGTTAATGTTTTAGCAACAGAGTGCAATGAATAAATATATCAATATATCAACTGTGAATGCCACTAAGATAGTGGTCTTGGCACCATTCAGGATGAAAAATACCTCCCCTAATTTTACTTTTTCAGCTGCAGATATTAGAGCTGACCTCAGTTCCAGAGCTACAGTCCGTCCCTGTCCTTTTTCACCTTACAAACAGTCACATAAACTTAGTGTGTGTGGCCAAGCAAATGGTACAAAGAACAACCTGAGCACTGGAAAGAGGAGAATGTCCTGGGAGCAGCCCATGTCAGTAAGGGGAAAATGGCTGACTATAAATATCACTGATCCTTCTCTTTCTCAGTTCTGTCACACCAGACAGATGTTAAAACCCCATGAAACACAAGAGCAATAGCAGCCAGTCTTAGAACCAAGAAACCACAGTTAGTTTTGAGAGCAGAAATGAAGAAGTTGTTAGTGCTTGCATATAGAGGCAGGAACACATAACATTGAAATCCATGCTGGTAGCTCAACCCATGAGCTGTCCATGCTTACCTCAGCGGGAGAATTGATTACGGAGATCTGCAACCCATATTGGAAACCTCCACCAATACCCAGGACTAAAGCCAGGAGGAAGAGATTGTAGCTCATTTTCTGGCAGGAAATAAAAGCAGCAAACAAAGCTGGCACAGCTATTCAGGCATGTCCCCACTGTCCTGTTCACCTCCACAACTCCAGCAGCCTGAGCAATGCCACACACCTGTGTCCTCTGACACCAAGGAGCCAGTGCAGAGTGAAATAGAAGACCAGCTACTAAAGCACAGGACAGTGAGGAATTTGAGGAGAGACAAAGCTTGTAGCTGCCTCCCAGAATCCAGTTACACACTTCAGTGCTTCTGTCTCCAGTTTTGGCTGACTTAATCTGCACTATCATAGAGTAACTTCTAGTGGGAGAGGGTGTAATGTGCATGATTTCCATCTACTTCTCCTTCCTTCTTTTCCAATTGTTAGGGTTAGGGTATTTTGCTCAGTTACTTGGCTGAGACTAGACAAACATTTTGGGATTGAAGGGCATTCCTGGTTTAATAGTTTATTTATCTTTTCTTAGAACTATATCTGATAGGAGGCTTAGAATACAATACAATAGAATTGTATACAAAATACATAGAATACAATACAGTTCTGTGATACATGCATACCCCATCCCTCCCACTCATAACTCTTTCATTGTGGAGGACTTTTTCAGTCTTCCAGCCCTCCTCCATCTATCAAATCATATATTTTTTTTGGCTGCTGTGCTCTGAACAAACTTGGTTTGTTTGAACTCCCAGTTATGTATTGAACATTAAATAGAAATGTGCTTTTAAATCCAGTTTTCTTTGCTTTAAAAAAAAAAACAATTCCTTGCAAGACATTTGATATCTTTCAGATATGAACTTGTGCTATTATTTGGGCCACACCTAATTCAGATTTGTTTTTCTTTCTGTACTCAATTTATGCAACAGGTCTTTTAGAATAGCAGCAGGAAAAAAAATATGTACAATTTGGCTAAAGAAAAAGAAGATAACCATATACCAATTTGCATGCAAAGGTAGTTTTTTCTGCTTACAGCCTAGGTCTTTCTTAACACTTTCTTTGGTTACTTTGGAAAAAGTCACTCTATATACAGAGAAAGAGGAGCCTGAGATAATATTTCAACATGTCATTTCATTCTTTCTTGGTGTTTACACTCCATTTAGCTTGTCATGAAGTTCTTGCTATTTGATTTGTCATTATTGAATTGGTTACTGATGAAACTGCAGATGGTTTCAGCATGCTGGGCATTCACTCCAGGTCACTCGGGAAGAGAAGCTCCAGTAGCAACTAACAGGCAACTAGAGCTGCAGGAGATGAGTAAAGGACCATAAAAAAAGCACTGATGGAAGCCAAAGTCCAGGGACTGGCTTAAACTAGAGTGGACTGGCTTGAGCTGCCCAAGTCATGGGTTGGGTAATCAGTTATCTCATTCAAAGGAAAAGTTCTGACTGCTACATTGAACCTCAGTACAGCAAACATACCTTCTGAAGCCTAACTTGGGCAAGGCTGACTAAGCCTGTCCATTAAACTTTTGAATTATGGGGTCAGGTAACATTTTAAGAGTAATGGGCATTGCCTAAAGTTGAAGTCTGTGTCCCTATAATATATGGCAGATGCTAGAAAAGTTGAATCTCAGTTTTAAATCCTGACTGTAAAACAAATAAACTGCATCTTTACTTTTATCCATAATTCTCAAAGGGCATCTTTATCTGGCAGGCTCCAAGATGGTTCTATAAAAAGTTTTTTTTTCAGGTTATTCAAACAGCTTAGGGGGAAATTCCCTCTCCTGGTGAGAGGCTGCATTAGGTGTTTCCCCAGGCTGGGGTACTTCTTGTCTTTGGTGCCTGAAAGAACCCCAATCCCAGCTGGATTAGAAGTGAGAGGTGGCTTGTGCAGAGGACCATTGTCTGTAGTAACAGTAGTAACTATTTTTCTCAGATGCTGATGGTTTTTAATCAATACAACAGTGCATGGTTCTTTAATCTGTAAACACTAATGTGAACTGTGAGCCCCTGAGGAATATATTTCAAGATATATTTTTGCCTAACACTTCACATGATAAAAAAATTGACCCGAACAAAGTGTCATCTTTTTTCAGTCAAAGGTGTTTTAATTCAGTAAAAGTTAACCAACTTGTTAAACACTTCAATTAAAATGTAACCACTGCCTGTCTTTGCTTCCTCACTCTAAAGACACCTGACTTGGGGCCGTAGTCAGAAAAAATGCTTGATGTTGGAATTAGTGTTTCGTGACACATGTACTTGCAGGACTGGCTCTGAAACTCAGGCACCCAAGTGGATGTTAGTCTGAATGTTAGGTGTGTTTCGTACTGTCACATGCAGCCCCTGTCCTGCTAGGGCTCTGGGGAAAGGCACAGTTCCAACTCATGGGAGTAGGCACACAGGTGGCCAAGGTGCGGACCTCTGGATACCAGAGGACTTCTCCCAGTTTTAACCAGTTCTTCCCTGCCCTATAGGTCCCAGTTGTGTTTCCCAGGCTTCACCCTCTGCCCAGGCAGTCTCTTCAGTTCATCCCCTGCTTTCTAACCTGTATCTTTACTGCCTTGTTTTCTTTGCTTCACTTCTCTTTCCTGTAATTTTTCTAATCTTCACCAAAGGAATGACAGAATATTTTGATACCATCGTGAATGTAGCAGCACTTCTTTGCTTTGACTGTGTGTTCTGCTCTTTCCATCTGCCCCTCACTGCTCTCTCCAAACTATAGAAATGTAAAGTATCTATGCAGTTCCCAGCTCCATGGAGTCCTGCTCTTGTCTGTCTTGTCTCAAAATCCTGTTATTTCAAAATCTCAGTGTTGACCAAGAGCAGAGATACCTGCTCTTCCCTGTGTCTGTGTATTAATTACTTCTAAAACAGCAGCAACCACAAATGAACCAAAGTTTAGTTTTATTTTTCCTCTATTATAAGCCTCAGGTGGTGAAGAATAGTTCTTGCACAGACTCCTTTTCTGGGAAGTAGCTGTGCTGCTCCACTCATGCCCAGCATGACAGTCACACACTTCAGAAGCATTTAGTCCTGTCATTCAAAAATGGTGTATTTTTAAAACATGTAGTTTAAAAATATACCGAAAGAAACTTTACTTAGTTTGGAAATGTCTGTGGGCTTCTCTGCTGCAGCCATCAGCGCTGCTGTGATTGTCATACAAACAAAGCCAAAAGAAAAGAGATGGCTTGATTGAGACATTGAGAAGAAATAGAAAGAAAGAAGCTTCACCAGTCAAACCAATGCCTGTGAAATGGGTCCCTTTTCCATGTAAGCTAGAGAAGACAGCAAGGCAGCACAAACGGCAATGACAGGTTCGCTTCTCTCTGTAGAATAGAAAGGCACTCCCTGGCAGTGGGAAGTTGTGTACCCTGGTGAATCCTAGAGATGGGATCTACTGGAGACAGAGGTGTATTGCATTGCCAGCAACAACAGCAAATCTGCTGCTTCACAAAGTATCTGGCCTTTAGGACTCACCCTGGTACTTTAACATTCTTTCATCCCGCGGAGTGCAGTCTGTGAGGGGCCTGACAGGTTTCCAACTTTTCAAAATAGATTATTTATTTTCTAAATGCTTCTTTGTCCCTACTCAGGTTTTACTACACGTGAACAGAAATACAAACCCATTCCGCATCACCCAATCCTACAGGTATCGGCAGGGATGTGGTGCTGCATCAGCTGAAGCCACTGGGGGGCAGGAGAAGGACAACATTTCCCGTATGAGGCTCTGACTCCAACATGCCAGCAGTTTGCTGCCTGTGGTATCTGGCAGGGTTCAGAGGATTCCTTTTAGCAGCTTTCCAATGATAACTGCATGTAACTTGTACAAGTTAACAGCTGCTGACGCACTGTTTGGAAGCATGTATCAACAACAGTAATACATTGGAAAAGGACAGCTCTAGTTTCTTCCTGCTGCCTATTCTGAATGAGATCAGGTTTGGATAGATGTCTTCCAGGAATAAAACCACATCTTCTGAATAAGGCAAGAGCTTTCTCCTTTTTCCCAGCATCTTATAAGCAGGCACTGCCTAGTGCGAGTCTTTGTCCCCTCAGGTGGTGGCATACATGAGTTTCAGCCTGCGGCTACCGGGTGGAGTGTCCCTGGTTGTGCTAGTCACTGAGCTGTGTCGTGGGAGCCTTTGAGATAGATGGGGATTATTCCATTTCTAGCTCCTTAGGCAGAGGCCAACATGTCAAAACATGTATCTCATTGGATAAGAGGCCAGGGAATGCAGCTCACACCTGGGCCTGAGTATCATGAATCTGCTCCATCTGTCTCATTTCTGTTGCAGCCAAACATAAAAATCTATCTGTCTGCAATGACCTGGCCAAGAACTGCCTGCTTAGGCCATTGCATTGTCTTACTTTTCCCAGGTAAATATGTGCACACTCTTCTATTTAACAGGTGAAAGCAGTATTCATCACAGCCCAAAGGTAATCCTAGAGGCTCTGGACACCAATGCACAAGGGCAGGGGATGTGTTTGTATCTCCTGTTGGGCCTCTCACTTGGTTTGCCTCAAGCTTCTCCTTATTTCACCTCTACCTTCCCTGAACTGCGCAGAGATACGTTCTCTCTCTTCAAAACCCATTCCCAGTGCTTTTATGTGGAGGTTAAACCAGAGAACTTGCAGTCTGTGCAATGAAGTAAAGCAACTGCCTGTGGCAGTCTCAGGTCAGAGAAGGAAAATATCAGGTGAGCTTACGGCAGCAACAAGAGATGAGTGAAGTCCTGCAGGGAGGTAGTGAGGTGCCTTGGACTGTGGCACAGGCTGCTCACAAGGCTCTCTCTTCCAGAAGGGGCATAAATTGGCTGTTGCTGTGACTACATCTGTGTCTGCAGCTGAGGTGGGAGCTCCTGGAGTTGTTCTCTGTGTTTTCTAGTAACAGCTGCCTTGATGAGGAGGGGATGGATGGATTTTTTTCTCCTACATAACATCTGTATGACTTGAGGTTTTGTGCTGGCAGGTGTTCACAGTGGCTGTGTTTCTAACTGACTTCCTGCTGCAACTTAAACCAGCATTCCCAGTGTTCAGCCTTAGGGTGAGTTCTCACAGTTTCAGAGTGGCAGTTGGTGTGGATGAGAAATCTTCAGTCTCAAGGTCTGTCACCAGGGTATAACCACAACACTGCAGTTACTCAAACTCCTGGCTTTGGAAACAGTCACATGAACACAGCAGGTTTCCAGCACCACTGTGGGGACTGACCACCTCGTCCCTCAAATACTTTTTCACTGAACTCAAGTCTGTCATAGTCAAGGTGGAATATCATGCCATGAGCATGGAGAGTAGTTATTTGGAGAATGTGATGGCAGTCTCTGCCTGTAATTATCTGTCTGCAGTAATAAATAATAATCCCACTATTAGGAAGGAC